GAAAAGGAGACGGACACATCAAACAAAGAAGCTGAACGATGGACTGACCACCCCACAGTCCAGACTTCAACATCACTGAATGTGTTTGATTACTTCAGAAAATGATCAACCAACTTCTAAGACTTCTAAGATTTCTTTGAAAAACTGGAAAGTTTTCAAAAACATTGAAGCTGTAGCTGTTGAGGCTTCTGTTTTATATGCAGTTAAACTGTTTTTTTCCAAATGCGGAAAAAATAATGTTTCTTTTTTGAAACAGTAATTTGTGACACAAACTAAACAGTCTACAACTTTTTGGCTGCAAACATAAATTTGATAAAGGTGACAACAGCAAATCCACTTTAATGAAGTAGAAGGGTGGCTGCTTTTTTGATTTGGAAATAAGAAAGTTTTAGATATTAGGTCTGTTAATGCTGTGAGTCCAGAGCTCAACATCACTGAATGTGTTTGGGATTATTTGGATCATGAGAAACAGAAAATGCAAAACCAGCCAAGACTGAACTTTGAAGGTGTGAAAAAAAGTATCATTCCACATTTCTTTGAAAAACTGAAAGTCTCCCGAAAAGAACAGAGTCAGAGGGTGGACACGCTAAATACTACCAAGACTGGAATTATATTAGTTGTTCAGGCTTCTGCTTCTTGATGCTTAAAAAATAATAACTTGCACCTAATGACTGGAAATTAAATAAATGAATTGTGGTATTTGACTTTTACACAGTACTGTACATACATTTGCATTACAAATACACCAGTCAGGCATAACATTATGACCCTAGTAACACTGATGTGGTGGTGGTGTGTTAGTGTGTGTTGTGCTGGTACGAGTGGATCAGACACAGCAGTGCTGCTGGAGTTTTTAAACACTGTGTCCACTCACTGTCCACTCTATTAGACACTCCTACCTTGTCAGTCCACCTTGTAGATGTAAAGTCAGAGACGATAGCTCATCTGCTGCTGCACAGTTTGTGTTGGTCATCCTCTAGTCCTTCATCAGTGTTCACAGAACGCTGACCACAGGACGCCGTTGGCTGGATATTTTTGGTTGGTGGACTATTCTCAGTCCAGCAGTGACACTGAGGTGTTTAAAAACTCCAGCAGCACTGCTGTGTCTGATCCACTCAGACCAGCACAACACACACTAACACCACCACCACCACGTCAGTGTTACTGCAGTGCTGAGAATGATCCACCACCCAAATAGTACCTGTGAGGGTCCATGGGGGTCCTGACCACTGAAGAACAGGCTAAAAGGGGGCTAACAAAGTATGCAGAGAAACAGATGGACTACAGTCTGTAACTGTAGAACTACAAAGTGCACCTATATAGTAAGTGGAGCTGATAAAATGGACAATGTGAGTAGAAACAAGGATTTTAGTCCTGAAAATATATTAAAACCAGTGTACACACAGGTCCCAAGATTTGGTTCTAGCTCAGTGCTAGCAATTTGCTCAGCTTTCACCACACTGTTTGACATGGACTACAGGCACAGATGCCATAATAAACTCCACTAGCTAATATAGTGCTGTATGGTAACTAGATCATGAACCTGTGAGCTAGTGTTTTAATCCCCGCTTTCTTTATGTTACCGCTGGGAGAGCTGGGACTTAGCATAACTTCACATTGCAGCCTGGAGAGCTAGGTACTGGCTTGAAACTATTTAGGTCAGTGAGCGTGCACGTTCTCATATCGCGGATTTATGTTACAGTAAGCCTGTTAGCAGAAGGCTTTCGCTAAAGCGGCGGTATAGGCATGAGGGATAAAGATGTGTGTGTGAATGTGTTAAGTAGAGGAAAGAAGAATATTTGTGGCATGGGGGGAAACTCAGTTAGCATGGTTAGCACAAAGGAAAATACTACAATTTAAGCACTACGAGCTTGGTTACAAGCCAATTCATTGAAAGAGATGGGAGACTTAGCTGGCAAGTACAGCTGACAATTTCACTGCTTTGAATGGTTTTTATTACACAAATTACTGGAGAAAACTCAGGCTGGAAAAAATGCAGTGTGTTTTGCCATGGAGAGTGATGAACTGTGTAATTTCACACTACCAGACAATAAAACGGAGCCTTCAGTTCAGTAATTGTGGTCTCAATTGTGGTGGTCTGTGTTGCTTCAGACCAGATTTCAGCATTTAAAATAAGTTTTTAAATGCTGTCTTTAATCTTTCAGAAAGCCTGCATGCCAAGGCGGCGTAGAGCGTGCATGTTGGCTCTGTGTTGCTGTGAGTGCCTTTCATTTTGGGGTTTTTCTTGATGTATATGACAGTAAGTCTTCTTGTTGTAAGAGAACAAATGAACCAAGGCAGATAAGGACGAAAAATGCACAGTACAAAATCACTGACCATATATAAATTCCATAAGCCATTGCCCCCACTGTGTGATTTTAATGATATATGAAGATTAATATATGAAATGGGATAATATATATTAAAGCAGTGGTTTACTGCTAAGTGTATTAATCCCATGCAAATGGACATGATTAAGCTGTGGTGAACTGGTTGTAAAGCAGATCATTAGTTAATGAATTGGAGGCAGTGAAGGAAGATGGCCTGAACATTATGATGCAGTTATATTGGATGTATGACATTGATATTTCTCTTGTCTCAATAATCCATTGCAATGTCATACCAGTAATAACAGTGAGGCAGTAATAACACTTACAGCCTCACTGATGTTATTATTTAATTGAGGGGAGAAAAGGAAACAATGAAATCATGGTCAGTTTAATTTTAGGCCTTGCCAATTAGGGCATACTCTAATCAGGAGTATTAAAAGGTTTGTCATCATCAGTAATGATAAACTTTTTGTACATGTGGTAATTGGTGTGTTGACTTCGCTATCTCACAGAACTGATTGAGTGCATGTGAGGCCTGAGGCAGGTTGAAGCGTGTGGTGATAGTTCAGTGAAAAATGTAATTTTTGTAGGTGGGTCATTCTACAGAAACGTCCACTTTTCTATCTCTCCATAGGAGTCACTGGTGTTACTGATCCTCATTGGTGTCACACATAAGAAAGGTAACACCAGAGACATTTTTAATGAACAATGTATTTTACTAAATGGCTGCTACAGAGCATCAAACCACATGTTGACAATCATGGAACATCCACTGAAATATGTTATTTAATCTGTTTGTGTTCTATTTTTTCACAATAACCTAAGAATAAAGTCGGTCACACCAGTGACTTCAGCTAAAAGCTTCATATGAAATCATGAGCTAAATGAGAAAATCTCTGATAACTGAAAGACACAGTGGACTCACCATGTGCTTTTCTTCATAGATCTTCAGAAAATAGGTAAAAGGAAGTCAAGTGATGTCATCAGTGTGATGCAAAATAAGGATTTTTTGTTATCCGGTAACACCAGTGACACGACTCCTGGGGACAACTTTCATTATATATTTTATAATATTTATTTGGCATTTGTTTTCTTTGTCGTTTAATTTATGTATTCCATAGTCATGTATAGATTATTGTAGTGTTTTGTTCTTCAAAGTATGGCACTTACCCTTTACACATGACTGTGAGGACGAGCTCTTCCGTGGTGCTTGGAATTCTATATAATTGATTTAAAAACCAATATTGCTTTGAGGCTCAAGAAGGTGTAACTGTTAAAAGAACTTATTGTTTTATTTTAAAATATAAAATTGTAACCCTAACATTTTTTTTTAAGTGTAATATGTCTGTAAACGCTAGGGACACAAAAATGGACGTTTCTGTAGAATGACCCAGCTACAACTTGGCTATGAGGCCGTTCACAATTGTGCGTCCTCTTGAGAGTGGCCATTTTTTGCGTTTATTTCTTTCTTGCTTTCGTTTCTCTCTTTGTTTACCTTCTCTCGTGGCCGATGGCAATTCAGCATGCTCAAAGCGCTGATGAGGACCGACTTGAGCCAACAGTGCCATGCACGCCACGCTGACTGCAGGCAACAGTCGGCCACCGACACTCACTATTGACCTGACGCGGTCAATTGGCCGATAGTTGGCTTGGTGTGTCCCGGACCTAAATCTGGTTGAGATTGCTTAACAACTCGACATGGTTTCAAACACGTGTGTGATAATTTAGTCATGCAATGTGCACAGTGCTAATTGGTGGGCTGTTAGCTTTCATTACTTGTTAGCTACATTAGCCTCGTAGTGCCTGCGCAAACCTAAAGAAGTAAACTTGGATACCAAACACGTCCCGGCTCGTCGATCACATGTGGGGTAAGGGGAACGTTATGTAAATTAACTTTTTTCGCCACTTTGCAACTGTCACTTCAACTACTGCGCTAGCATGAGGACGGATGTGTCTAAGGGCGAGAAACATGTTGAGAAACTCGCCAGTGGGCCAAGGTGACCCGACTGAGCTGTGGAGTGCAGGGAGCAGTGCTGCGTCGCTGCTTTCCCTGTCCATTAGAGACGCCGGCAGAACAGTGCCTGGCCCTCGGAAAAGGGAGGCAACTAGGGTGGAGGCGGCATGCTGTGCTTGATGAGAAGTGACATGTTTGAGACGTGTTTGCAAAAATAAAGGGTTTGCTTTTAGTTTTGCGGGCAATATGGGAGTCTGGCGCGCCGTCCCGGAGGTGCCGCGCTCCAATGCACACGCACACACACACACACACACACACACACACACACACACACACACAGAAGCCAATCGGCGAGGACACACTTAACCCACGCCCTGCTCGCATAAACACGGGCACTCTATCGGCACGTGCCTACCCCCTCCCCGTCCCACAGCCAGGCCGTTAGCCATGCCTCGCTGCACAACTAGACGAGAACTGAGCGGAGAGCCTCCCTCACATTAGATCTGAGCAACGTTTGGGTCTCTGCAGTCCCTATTTAGGCCTGGCTAGCTTTCTTTTCTTTACAGTTCATTGCAGATCAGTCCAGTCCAAAGCACTCTGCATCATCAGGCTGTGTGTGTACTCTGTTGTGCCTTTTTTTTCCTCCTGCAGCTTAAGTTGTGTAAGTGCTCCACATTTCTGATGGACGACTCTTTGTTTTTCCGTTTTATTCACAGCCTGTCGTTCCGGCTTCTACAAGGCCTCTGCCATGGACGCCTATTGCGTGAAGTGCCCCCCACATAGTTACTCTCATCAGGACAAGGCCTCCGAGTGCGTGTGCGAAAGGGGCTTCTATAGAGCAGAGACTGACCCTCGCTCCATGGCCTGCACAAGTAAGCTAATTTATGTCAGCCTTTTTTGGTGTCCTGAATGTTGGTCACTCAAAGGGAAAAACAAAGGGAAATGTTTTAGCTGCTGAGAATGCTAGAGCTGTGCAGTCATTGTCCTCTACACAAGCTAAACTAGCAAAAAGAGAAATATTTTTTCTATATTCAGCTAGCATAGTTAGCCTAGCTGCACTACTGCAGACTTCTCAATCATGTCTCTGCCACGGTAAAGCGCTTGTGTTTACTAGTAGCAAAACAAAATAATATTCGATAGTAAGATGTTACACAGTGAGAAGGGTCTGTCCGTATTTTATGGCACCAATTTCTCAGTTTTTCAGGCACGTCTGCCCTGTACCTACACTCATTGGCCATTTTATCTGGTACCTCTACTAATCACTGACTAAAAAACCCAGTAGGTCGCTAGGCTAAACATGGAAATGTAACTACAGTAACATTGAATAAACCTTTGCATGGTGTCGGCTTTTACAGCGCCGACCTTTAACACTTACCCTGCAAGAATTGCGTGACAACTTCGACGTAGCATCGACCACTTTTGTTACACCAGGACCTTTTGGTGCCTTTGTTAGGATTAAATAAATTGTTTTTGAACAATCAAATTTACACAGGTACAGACAAAATTTGGCTTTGAGATGGCTGCTGCTACTGCATCGATCGATCACTTGTTAATCCCAGAGGGAAAGTTGAGGGAAAGAGCAAAACAAGAGCAAAAGTATTGCTGTGTGTTATTATACAGATGAATAAATAGAAGAAGTAAAGATATATAGTAGAATATACCAAAACAACCATAAAATATGATGTGCAGTACAAAAATAAGTAAGTAAAATCGCATAAATATTATGCAGGTGACAATGCAGCGGTGCATGTTATGTCCAGTGAATGAACTTTGTGACTAAACACTGTAAACAATAACATATTGCTGTTGTCGGAAGAAAACCGTTTTTCAGTTTTTGACTTAATTTGAAAATTCCTGTGGCCCTTCCATTGACTTATATTAAAAGTAAAGCATTTTTTCCTTTTCCTGTAAAGTTACTGTTTTGGAGATACAAGGTTTTCTTCCGACAACAGCAATATGTTAATAATTGTACAATATTCCTGGGCGTATAAACAAGTGGCAGTTCAATGTACGATGTGTATGGATGTGTAAACAAATTGGCAGTGCATAGGAATGAATAGAGATATAAAGTCCAGTTGGTGTTCAGTGAGGCTGTCCTGTCAGTGGCTCAGTATGCAGTAATGTCCCTGCACAGTGACAAGGTTTTGTCCATTTTTTTGGATTCCAGTATGTCACACAGTGTCAAACAATATAAGTAAGTCTGTATGAGTTACCTAAAGCAATAACTTGACCAAATATGCTAGTATAGATATGGAGCCACAAATGAGCATGATTTTATCTACATAATGCTGACTGTTAGCTATTCACATTGCTTTATTGTTAGCAACATTAGAATTATTTGACTGAACTCTTCCTTTAACATGGATTGAGGCAAGTATGTGATGATTAGAGACGCAAGGTGCACAGTGTTAACTGATGTACCCGAAGTTCCAATACAATCTACATTAGCCTTTAAATCTTGAGTGAATGTCAGGAAGCAAAATTCAGACACCGAACACATCCTGGCTGATTTATCTTGTGTTTATTTGTGTGTATGTGTATTAGGACCTCCATCAGCGCCAGGCAACCCCATCTCCACGGTGAACGAGACAGCCGTGACTTTGGAGTGGAGTCCACCGCGTGACAGTGGTGGAAGAGGTGATGTCACCTACAGTGTCCACTGTAAAAAATGTTCGGGCGAGGCGGCCCCAGGAGCCAGCGGGACAGGCGAGAGGTGCGTACCCTGCGGAAGCGGACCTCACTTTAACCCCCGACAGTTCGGCCTGGCCCATCCCAGAGTGTTGGTCACTGAGCTGCAGCCCCGGACCAATTACACCTTCAGCATTGAGGCCCTAAACGGCGTCTCTGACCTGAGCCCCAGCCCCCGACACCTGGTGTCCGTCAATGTTACCACCAGCCAGACAGGTGAGTCACACATTCTGCTCTACTCTTAAGACTATGATTATATGATTTATATTTTCAGGTTGACTTGGCACAAATCAGATTTTGTTCTAAATTTGTCTTTTTTCTGATTTATTTGACCATGATATGATCATTTAAGGTTGCAGGTCTTATTCTTGAGCTTATTAGTTTTTCAATTCAATCAAAAGCTATTGTTAAAGACTTTGGTGTACGTGGGTGCTAGCTTATTGAGTTCCATTTCAGTAATATCTCTAAGACTGCTTTTTACTACTTGAGAAACTGATCTAAAATTAGATACATACTTTTCCCTACAGAAACTTTTCTTTCATAGATACACTGTTAGAAATAAAGGTTCTGTTCAGGTACATTTTTCGTTCATCAAGGTACAAACAATGTAAATGTTCCCTCAAAGGTTCAACAGTGGTTTTAAGGTCTGATTGTGAACCTTAAATAAGTTTTCCAGGTGAAAAGTTCATATTTGTACCTTTTCATAACCGAATGTTTTAAAACAGAACAGTAAAATAAAAGCCTGGAGACGAGACGGGGTGTGTGGAGTCAGTACAGCTTAGAACATATCATTTCAGTGGATTATGGTTCAGTTATGTTCCCTGACTAAAGGTACTGAGATGTACCCTTGAAGGTCCCACCCCAGTGACAAGAGGGGCACTGTCCCAGTGACAGTTTACTACCTTTATTTCTGAGAGTGTACTAGATTACATGTTACTGTAATGCAGAGATCACCAACCCTGCTTTTGGAGGTCTACCTTCCTGAGAGACTTTAGCTCCAACCCTAATTCACCCCACTAGGGCTGGGCAGTATGACAGTACTTTTTTGTTATTGTGGTAAATTACATCCCACTATATCACAATATGCCTTTCGGAATAAACCATGGATACATAGAACTGCATGTTTCACTACAAAGAGAGCATCATTAGTCCTGTTTAGGCTTATTCAGTGCAACACAGTATGTGAAACATTAAATGAAAAAATAAAGTTTTAAAGTTTTCATAGTATCTTTTAAATTTCCGACATTTCAGATGTCAGAAAAATTAAATATGGTGACATAATTGTGTATTGTGAAAATTGGCTGAAGTATCGCGATACTGTATTTTTACCATGTTGCCCACCTCTAACCCCACCTGATTCTCTTATTATTGCCCTCAGAAGTCTTTGATGAGGTGAATGAGTTTTGGGTTGGAACGGAAATGTGCAGGAAGGTAGATTTCCAGGAGGACGGTTAGTGACCACTGCTGTAATATTCAGAATAGGGCACCTGTGTAATCAGCAGAAAAAGAAAATGTGAGCATATTACTCTGATATTATTCAGTTCACACTGGCTCCAGTTCAGTTTTGTATAGACAGTAAGGTCTTAATGGCCTATTTAACTGATCTGTTGAAGCGTTATAGCCCATCCAGGCCACTTCACTCAGCTGAGACATGCTTACTGCCTCCTAACATCACTTACAGCTCAGTTGGTGGAAAATCATTTTTATATTATATAATAACATTGCAGGGAATATGTTTTTAAATTGTTGTGAGAATGGTCAGACTGGAATACATGTTTTTCATTTCTTACATCACAATTCACTTTGCATGTGCTTATCACAGTTGACACACTGGCAGTGTGTCAGCAGCAGCTAAGGACATTATATGTGCATATCGGTCCTTTCAGAATAGAGGCCTATTCACACTTTCCAACAGGAATGTAAGCTGTCAAGTAGGGGTCAGCAATTTATCTAGAACCTTATATCACAATACATAAAGACACAATGCACCGGCAAAACATGCTAAATCTGTACAAGTACATTTTTTTTTTCAACGTTTCACATACTGCGCATCACAGCATCCATTCAAACAAGACCAATTATGCTCTGTTGGACTCTTAGCATTTATTCACAGTCTCCTAACAACAGGAAGAAACTTCAGACACCTACGCCACTTGGGGAGGTCTGACTAAACCTCTTTTTAGTAACACATCAGTGTTCTGAACTAGTCTTGAATTGCAGGGAATATAATATGAAAAAGAATTTATAAAGCCACTGCTAGCTTGACAGTTCTCTGTCATTTTTTCTAGCAAATCACAGTCCGTAGCATCCAGCGTACCTCTGAAAGAACAATGTGAAATCATTGGCATAGCGTCTGGGTTAGGCACAGTGTACACTGATCCTGTGGATTGGGGCAGCCATCTCCTCATCTTCTGCTTCTTCAGGGTATTTCCAAGCCCCACCTCATTTTCTTAGCCCTCATCATTAGCGCCAGCGTTTCCCGTGAATATATTTTGAAGTTCTAGATATGGTGAAAAGATGTGCTTGTGCCAGTCTGTTCTCCGCTACTATATAGGCTGCCTACTAGTAAAAACTGAGACCTCTGATAAATAATACAAAAACACCCATTTATGCACATTTGCTTAGGATTTCTACCATTTATATAATACTGACTTTGGCTAGATGTGGATTTTAAACTGTTACTTCTCGTCCTCTTCACCTCATTTGTGTGATTGTGTCTTGGAATAAGGAGGCCCTTTCTAGAAGCCTTGCACATGGACCTGGGGATGACCTGTTAGGCCACATCTTTAAATTAATTCACTTGAATATCCATTTATGTTGCTTTTGTGCTGTCTCATCCTGCATTATTTCAAAATAGAAAATAGTCAGAAAGTTCCAGTAAATGTCAAACCATCTATTTAACACTTGCTAGATGTTAAACAGTGCTGCTAACTAGGAGAGAGGAGCTGGTGTACATTAGCTTAGCTAGCATGATAACAGAACATGTTTGATTCTGGTTTACTAAAGCACTGGAAACAATTTAGATGTCTCAAATCTGAGGGGCCGAGGTTGAGCAAGTGCCATCAAAGGTTTTTATTTTATTTTATTTTATTTTGTTTTTTGTAGATAAAGACAAGAGAACAGTATAAGACCCCCCACCCCCCTCCCTCCAAAAAAGAACAAAAAACAAAAAACAGCCAGTTAAAGTTCAGAAACTGTACATATACAGCAGCCCATGCCAAAAACTGTATTAATAAGTAAAAATAAAATGTAAAACATAATAACAGGTGTTATAATCTTGGCAGTTTGGAGGACAAAACATTGAATCAGCTAACTTAATGCTATCTTTACAACCAGGCTACAGGTCCAAACAGTGCCATAGGACATGTCTGACTCTAACTAATCGTGCTCTGCTGAAACAATTGTGGATGATAAAAACTGATGACTGGTGTTGAAGTGACAGAAAACCGAAATTGAACCTGTTCTGTGGTATTTAGGATTGTAGCGTTTTAGCTAAGCTAAGGATCGCTTAGTTAGCAGGCCAAATGTGCCACACGCAGCACTGGCTTGGTTCTAAAACTCGAACTAGCGCTAAAATGATGCAAAGTCTCTATTTGAAATTGTCATCGTTTTGAAATCTTGTCATTTTGAATTACTGCAGTATACATTATTACTATTATATCACCCAACCCTGATGTCTATAGCATATCCACAACGATCTCCACCATCGAGACCTCAGAGAGAGAGAGAGAGGAGCAAAAAATCAGAACTGAACAATAAGGCTTGTACTCTGAAATGTAGGCCAGAATATATCTCCTTTCACGTGTTGGCATGAGAGCAGGGAAGTGGGCCTTTGGCAAGCCGTAAACGTGACTGTCGAAGACTTTACAAGGACATATTTATTTAATAGAGAAAATATTTTTTTAGCTCTGTCATGATGATTTATCCATAAGAGGGTCAGAGATGAGAAGTGGGTGTGTGTTTCCAGTGCGTTAGAGGGCTTGTGGTTATGTGCACTGAGCAGATGTGAGTCAGCCTCCTCCCTGTCTCTGATTGCAGCCTCGCTCTTCAGCTGCAGGCAGGCTTTCAGTCAGGGCTAATCCTCTATTCTGCCCCCTCTTGAGCTCACACTGTGTTTGGAGAGGGCTCTCTTAGTCCTCCCATAACCTCCTGGCCCCCACCCAGTGGGTTTTAGGGGCCGCTGGGGTGCGTAGGAGGGACGGTGGCTGCCCTCGCCTGCAGGGGTGTTTGATGTGATTTAGCCAGAGCTGTGCCTTGCGGTGTAAATCTCCGGCCTCACAGTTTTACTAAATACTGATTTTTTTTTTTAAACATTTTTCATAAAATTACTGTGCAAAATTTCAGCATGATTTAGTTTGAATTTGATTATTTTGGAATGATCCAGAAATAGAAAATATACACCAAATACACAAATGTGACTAGAGGAATGATTTACACAGGAGTGGATTCTTGGCACAACATCTTAAATGCAGTTAATATATGTAGCATTTCTCAATATTATATATTTATATATTTTAAGAATCCTATATTATATAAAATTATGTGATTATTATACAATGTAATTATTATTACATGATTATTATGTAATGTTATGCATACTATTATAAGACTACTCAACCTGTTTTTGGACATTTTAAAATAGATTTTTCCAAAATGTCTGTATATTAAAGCTGTTAAGATGTAAACAAAGTCGTTTAGAGTGTTTTGGTGTGAAATGTGCAATTCATGAGAAACTCAGAATTGTTCTCAACAGCTTTGATAGGAACCAGATGTCTGAAGTGTTTAAAGGTAAAGCAGTTTACAAAGAAAAACATATTTTTTAGCTTCATCCCTATTTTATCACTATCACCATAACATAAAAAATTAGAAGACATGCACACTGGTAGGTTCACTGGTCATTTTGGATAACAATAAAATAGGCCAAATGGGCCTAAAATGAACCATTTCGTATCAAACCACTCTGTAAAACTTTGTTTACCTCTCAATGGCTGAATTATGCAGAAATATGAAAAAATGTTAAAATATTCTTACAACAATTTCAAAATGAGAATTTTTTGCAACTACTCACTAAATTTAGGATGACTTATTTTTTTTTGCAAAGTATGTGCTGTGAGAAAACACTGGTGAATAAAGTGTTATCTTACGATCTCACAATGCACCACAATAGTTGTTATGTAAATGATCTCTAGTAGACGCAGAATAGCTCTATGCACTAT